TGCGAATTAAATAAATGTGACAAACAAAAATTTTTATGTCGGCTAGCAATTCCCATTGCTATCAGCGCGAACGTTGACGTTACCTTCAACGGCGCCTCGTATTGTCGCTTCCTACGACGACACGGTTTAACCGAAGCACGAATTGAAATTTGCCGGCATCTGCGGAACGTCAGGAATGCCGTCGTGATCCTGTCGGTATCCAAGAGTTGGGGAGGTTGAGGTAAAGGTAAAGCGAAAAGGCGAAGGTCCAATCGCGTCAACGAGATTACATCGTAGAATTTCATGCTCTCTCTCTCTCTCTTTCTCTCTCTCTCGTATTACCAAAATCAAAATCTCTTCCCGCGTTTTCGCTTACGGCCAATTTACACGATGTAAAATGCCCTATTAAAAAGAAAGTTCCTATAAAGACCTATAATAAACTAACAAACTGTTTTACAATTACAGATTTTGTAGTAGGATTTGAGGGATCTTGATTGTACTGTATAACTATAATTAAATAAAAATATTTTTAAATTAAAATAATTAAAATAATCATGGAAAGTACTATCGTGCACAACTATTTCTTCCTTTTGATCCGTCATATTTTTATTTGTGTCAATTATTTAGAAAACCACATTTTATTTTATAAATGTTTGTTGCACCATCTCTACCATCTCTCGAAATTCTAATCCTATTCATATCAAAGTCGGGCCGTTTTACATATGTAACGAAGAAAGCATCAACATACGGAATTGAGTCAGAGAGGAACGAATCCATAATACATTCAAATGGAATTCAAACTGTCTTTAACATGGGACATTTGCAGAATTAGGGACTTCTCTGAAAAGCACCTTAGAAAAGTTATGAATTCATCAGTCGTCATAACCGAATCGTCAACCGACACGCTTGGCTAAGAGGCGCAAGAAGACATGCGAAGTCACTCGACACGACGCAGGCGTCCCGTAATCCTTGTCGACGTCGCTTCGTAGCTGTTAAGACCGTCGTTGTTACAAAGGCGGCGTAATGTGGCCTCGGGAGCCGCTCTTCAGCCAAGATGCGGCATTAACAGCGCGTTTCTTGCGCGTCTGCGAAGTCACTCGCCAGATTATATAGCGTGTGACTTTTACACGACGTTTCTCTATGCATAAGATGAAAATGCGGAAGGATATTTTGCGCGAGGTGATGCTAGACAAATATTCAAGTGAAGAAAGAACGCTAACGATAAAGGGGGAATTTTTAATATTTTAATTCTTCTAGTGAAAGCTGAACGAGACGCAAGGTAAACTGCCTTGTGAATAGACAAAGAGAAAGAGAAAAGATAGGAAAAAAAAATGAGGCAAATAAAGAAGAAAATGTAGATAGTATAAGAAAAATATTCATTAAGAAAATGATAATTTACGATCGTGAATATACTAGTATATGGAATTTGTACGAGAAATTTCCATCTGCTCAATTAATCGTAAAACAAAGAAAGAGAGGCCCCGCGCTTTCGAAGAGTCGTTAGCGTTATGTGCGAGCGGAAACACGGAGTTTTAATAAAGGAGAGCAGTGCTAACGTTTTCCTTTCGTTCGACGTTTAACCGATCTCCCTTTTCGCCTTTGTCGCGTCGGCTCTTCTCCGATGTAGAATTGTTTTTCCCCGTTTCCCCGGTTACATCCCAGCTACAAAGTTATAGCAACGCGGATCAGCAAAACTCAAAGCATTCTCCTGTGCACCGACAATGTCTTCTCACCCCTCTCTTCTTTGTCCGTAAAGAACCGGAGAAAGAGAGAGAGAGAGAGAGAGAGAGAGAGAGAGAGAGAGATAATAGAGAGAGAGAGAGAGAGAGAGAGAGAGAATAATATCTTAAAAGTCGGGACGACATTGGACTCGACGATAGTTTTTTGCATTTGTGAATGTGAAACATCAGAATCTGTAAAGATATACGTTCCAATAAATTTCCATGGCTTCTAGATTACGACAATAATATAGTATCATTTCTTATATTTTTTTCTTGTCTCAATTTAAGCTCAAGATTTACTTATAATATTTTGATAAAATAAATTTAATAATTAATTTTCTCATTATTTATCTTAATTATTTTAAAAAGAGTGTTGCTTTAAAATTATATTTTTAAACAAAGAAGATATAATTTTGATTTAGATTATTTATTAATTTGCTTTTTTTTTAGTTTTACTATATTTTTAGTTCACAACTTAAGATATATTATAAAAAAATTTTTTTTATATATTAATTCCCTATATTAAATTCATTCAAATTTTTTTCTATTTTACTAATTAATAACTGGGAAACTTTAAAAGATTCTACTTTTATTAAATTTCTGTCTGACTTTTAAAATAATTTTCTTATTTTTTTCTTATTCATTAAACTAATTCTTCATAGATTTTTTTTCTTGCGTTTCTTGACGTTTGTGGATTATCCACTGAGATCGTTGGAAATTTTTCCGCGAAGAACAATAGCTGAGTCAAAAGTGATATTGCCGCGAGTGAAGGTACTGAAGCTACTAGATGAAGCTTTGCATGATGATAAAAATGGTAACATTCACTACGTCTGAGATACGTAAAGAAAAGATGTGAAAAAATATAATAGTGCATTATTTAGTAGAGATATCTTTATTATGATATCTAAAGTCACACAAAAAGCTAAGATAAAAATGTTTAAATGTTCTTTACCTTACTCAATTTATTATCTTGCTAACACAATTTATATTAAGTATATTTTAATAGATTCTTAGATTAAAAGAGTTAGAGACCATTTATTATTAGATTAAAAGAGTTAGAAATTATTTTGAACAAATTATCTTAAAAACGTAATTGATTTTTCTCTTGATTGATAATTCTCAGTTAATGATCATCCTTTAGCGTTAGATATATGAAATAAATTTGAATTTTATGAAATAACAAATAATGAGAACGAACGACATCATTTCCATTAACGACATCATTTTTCCATCGTTTGTGCATAAAATTTGTCTTTCATTTGTGGCGTTAAATTGAAATTGCTCGGTCATTGCACTCGCAACTGCGATTGTCGATGCCAGACACGCCAGAAGTCGACTTTATGGCAGCTGAGCGTGCGCGCATACGGTGGACGGACCTCAGGCCGAAAAGAGGAGCGAAATTGGAGCGAAAAAAGAACTGCAGAATAAAAACTAAAAGTTACGGGGGGGGGGCGGCCGCGAGACCCGTGCCAAAAAGGGTTGAAAGCGCGACGTGAACGCGCTCTATTCTCTTTCTATCCGCTTCTTTCTTTTTTTTTCGTTTTAATTTCACGCCCGCGCCAATTTTCGGGCTTTTCGCAAGCACGGGAGGTCATCGGCGCCGATTTATTATGTCACGCGAAAAGGCCGGACAAATCGTTGAAAATCCATTCTCAAAGAAGATCGGACCAACCGCCATTTATACCTCGAGTTCAACAAATGCGCGAGTAATCAGAATGAGATGTGACCATCATCGGTTGATCGCTATCCGATGATTGAATATTTCATAATCCAATTTCGGATGCTTTTCTTTGACCAATCGTACCAAGCTCACTGTTTTCACAATCAAGAAAGAATTTCAACTTATTTGAAAAATTAGACCGAAGATCGGAGAAGATCGAGCTCCCTTCCCAATCGCAGCGCATCAATCACTCGCCAGCGGATCGCCCCAGATCCTGAGAGAGCATACCGGATGTACCTTAATGAAATTAATGATATCAGTAGCAGTCGTACATTGCCGGTTAGCCAACGCTCTCGACAATGACGGAATCTAGTTGGCGAAACAACTTCGATAAAGCATTGGATTCGTTTCGACAGTGACGAATAAGCAACACAGATATTTTGAATTTGGGTTTCTGTATTCCATATTTTACCTCTCCTCTCTCTTTCTTTCTTTTTCTTTCTTTGCTCTTCTTATACTTGCTTTATTATATTTGCATTATTATTTTATATATATATTATTTTATATATTGTTCTTTATTTTCTTTGTATTAACTTTTATATATTATCTCTTTCTTTTATATATTACAACCACTATTATTTTGGATATTGTCTTAACTTATATTCTTATACGTTATATACATTTTTTTTTTTTTTTACTTGAAGACTAATAAACATTGTTATCTCGTTCTCTTTTCTATTCTGATTATCGTTTTCGCTCTCGCTCTCACTCTCTTTCTCTTTCTACTATTGGTAGAGCAGCATCTTAACTCGCTGCAGTACCGATTCGGAACTAAGCTCGTCTACTTGGCAAATGCCCTTTCGTGCGCCATTCGGCACGGACGTGTACGTACGTAATCGCCTTAGAATCGCCGATTCCATTTCAGTGCTTGCTGGAACAGATAGCTTCCTCGGCACAGCGGACTTGCGCCTCAGAGATCGATTCCGGAGTCTGGTATCTCCGCATTTGTACGTTCTGAAATTCTGAGTTTATGATATCTGAAAGATGTACAAATGCAAATGTTTGAAGGATAATAATTCTTATAATGACATTTGATATCTTTGACTTTAACAATTATAAAATCTGTAAGTATTAAAATATCTTAATGATAACAATTTATCTATTTTTAAATGCTTTATCTGATTTACCTAACCGACAGTTGATCTCAACGTCAGTTAAACGTTTCAGTTAAAACGTAATTCTCTGGTGAAGACGCTGGAGAAATTGAATCGCATTTGATCGCACGTGTCTGCGATGATCGAGCTTGCGGATAACCTCGCGTCGACGACGACAATTTCTAAATCCCGGATGTATTAAGCGGTATATTTCTGATTTATAGTCAACGTTATGTGCAATTAAAGCAGACCAGTGGAAAACATCTCCATTTTTATTCATTGGCTGCAAAATCTACTGCCATTTATAACTTCAACATATGTCTTCTCTCCAAGTGATATTAAGTTTCTTTATCTATTGCGTAAAATTTTTAAATTTCATCACGTATTATAAATTGAAAAATATTTTTATCATTATTTTTTTGATTATGTATAAAGGATGACAAACAACGTAGAAGTCGCTTAACTTTATTCTTGTTTTGTTTACAGAAGATGGGCTCGGTGCATGGCGAAGAGCTTCCGTTCGTCTTTGGAGCACCATTGTGGGTGGAAGGATTTGGCCATTTTCCGAAAAACTACACAAGACTGGAAATGGCACTCTCGGAAAGTATTATGCAGTATTTTGCGAACTTTGTGAAAACTGGGTAAGTGGATTATATAAAATTCCATCACATAATCTAATTAATAGAGGTTAGAAAGGGGTTAAAATTTAAAGAAAAAATTAAAAATAAAAATGATAATATTCGGAGATTTTAATAATTTAATATTGCGGTAATTGAACAAATATTCCAAATGATGACAATTTTGTTTCTGGAACAACATCACACACTTTTTCCAATAATCCGAACTTTTATACTTATCCTAAAAGCGAACTTTAATTTCCACTTGCAAGCATTATTGAAATCCTTTCTTTTTTCTTTGAATTATTCGCCGTACTTTGCACGCACCACTTGCGGAATCAATTTGTGATGGGAAAAAAACGATCGAAAAGTCCAATTTTCCATATTCATGAATGAGCCACGCAGATAGCTTGCCTAATAGAAGTGTGAAAAAAGAAGGAACATGTCATGAACGTCACAGAAAAGTGGTCACGTTTGGTCAACAAATCAGAGTAAAAATTCTTTTTTATATCAATATCAAAATATTATATTATTGATTATGAAGAGATAGCAGAATTTTTTATTTAATAAAAATAAAAAAGAGAAATAAAATAAATATTAGAATTTATATAAGGATTATAGAAGAAATTCCAGTATGTAAAATATTTCGGTGGTTCGATATTGTTTTTACTGAACGATTTCAGTATTATTACAGTATTATATACATTTTTGCACAATATCGGAATGTACAAATATTTCGCCTCAACAAATACACGCACACGCATGTCATGCCTATTAGTAATGCCCTGAAAAACCGACGCCAGTAAATATTCAAAAAATGTACATGAAATATTTATAAGCACAAACATAAATTCGTCCAAGTTTTGCGATCAATAATGTGCTTGTTTGCCTAAACTTCATTTTTATTGACGATTTAATATTGCAAAATAAACATACTCTGGATACTTTAGCTATTTTTTAAGAAATTAATAATTGAATTGAATTGATTCAAACAAAATAAAGTACTCGTTATATAAGATTATAATACGAATTAATAACATTCGTTTGTTGTTAAAGACTATAATTTTTTTATTAAAATTTTGATATTTATATTTGCAATTTTTTTATGTATATATATATTCTATAAAATAATACTCTTAAAAAAATTTTTCAAGTTTAAACAAATTTTAAAAAGGATTTGATAATTTAAAACTAAAATAATAATATCTAATAATTTTAAGTTTAACAAAGTTTGTCTAAAGTTTGCTACTCGAAAGGCATCCTAAAGATTATAGAAAAATTGAACAAGTAGTCTTATAGAATTGCCTCTTGATATATATACCTATTATACCATATTACTAAGTTACCTTTGGGTATGTTTATGTGCGCATATGAGCACATGTGTGTGTGCACGTACGTGACTCTCGAGGCCGCAAATGGAATATCGATGAACGTGTGAGAAATATTTCACGCAGTGAAAATTCTCAAGACCTTGTCCTTATTTGAGAGCCATTGCGTCTCCTCGGAGACCAAGGAAATGGAACCTGTCTACCACGCGAACATTCCTTCGCGAGAAGAGGCAAAACTGCATTTTTCCTAGATAGAATAGAAGTAATACTTGTAGGATACTTAATGTCTTTGACACTTTCTGAGATAACCGGCTTGAGAATACAAAGTTTATCTCGTTATCTTTTTATACAAAAATCACACAAATCAGAAGTGACTACTCAGTAGCAAGTATATACTCCTTGAAATAGAATATTAATATCGTTAAACAAATTTTTTTTATATTTATTTGAAAATTTAATTATAAGAGATTTACCAATCGGCATCAATTTAGATTATATTAAGTAATCTTGAAGATGTGAAAACGTTATTTATTAAATAAACTTCAATTATATCGCCTAGGTAATTATTAACTGCATAATAATAATAATAATAATAATAACTGAAAATCAGATTGAAAAGATCGAACAATATTAATATTTGTGGAAATGTAGAATGTAGTTTGCTGGAACTCGTGCATTGACTACGTGATAAAATGTGATCACCTCGGGATAGTTTGTATTTCCGTTAGGTTTGTATATCACAATCCTAACGATTCGATTCACACTCAAAAGACCTGGGACATCGATCTCCTCCCTTGCCTGAATCGGCGATGCATCGTCGGCGGAGCGAATTTCACGTCGCTTGGAGCGACGACGAGCATTGGAACATCGTCGGCTCGTTTCGACGCCGCTTTTGCATATTCATCGAAAGGACGAAGGGGTTAAACGAACTTTCGCATATGTCGCCAATAACTTCGTAGTTTCGCGGTAGACCCCCACACGCGGCTTAACTCCGGCAAGAGAGCGTGTCTCTGGGACAATGTGTATCGACACGCACGTGGCGTGTGTTCGGAAACAGGCAGACACGTATATATACATGCTGTATATGCTACGTCGAGCATTTCCATAAAGGTTTTTTTTACCTGAAATTTGCTCGTGCAGTTCATACAAAATCATCTCATACGGAAAGGCAAAGAATATGTGTACATTATTAAAATCTTTAAATTTAAAGATATAGATGATACAAGTTTATTTAACAGCATGTCATGGCATTAGATAAAAATTGTGACAGTTTACTGATAACACAAAATAATATTTAACAAAATTGATTTGACAAATATTTGTTACATATCGCATCAGCGTAGCATCACGCAACCGTAGCTGTTATAAAATTGAACAATTATACAATTTTTAAGACACGCAAGACAGTTCTTTCTCATCTCTCTCTCTATCGTTGTTATATCAATATAAGGTAATATGAATATCGGGTCGATTAGGTAGGAATGTATTGATTCGAAATTCTCTGTTACGTTACTAGCGTAACATCTCGCTAGAACATTCCGCATAGACGTCAACGCGCGAGCACATCCTGTGCGCGATCACGCACGAAGCGAGGTAGTTTGTCTCACGTAATTCCTGTGTGTACGTGACCGCGTCTGAACTCGAAGCTCAAAATTACTCGCATTGTATTATACATGACAGTGGAGACGCGTTGACACCACCAACCGATCCGATTGGTTAATACGTGACGTCTCAGAGTTCGTAGTTTTAGTTCGTAGTTATCACTAAGTCGACGGATGTTGGCAAATCCATAG